ATACCTGTTCTGAAGGTCCTTACTACCGACCCTCCGCCACCGACGCACGGATTGAAGTCCTCAAGTTTTGCTCTACCATTATCCAAACAGAGACCTCGTATAGACGCTTTACACACGCGCCAAAATACAGCCGCCATTGCTGACCTTCTCTTGTCTTACCGAGATGCTGAGCAACTGAAACGGTAGTTGACGATCCTCTACAAAGGCCGATGCTTTAGAAAAGGGACACAGTTGAATCTAATGTGGCAATAACCTGGCCTTCTATGGTAAGATGAAGTGAAATAAACGAAATAAGAGGAAACAAAAACTGAAGGTCAGTTATGGCGGCGTCCATGCACAGCTGCTGCAAAGCGTCTATAGATTGCGAGCTAATATTGCCGGCACAGGTGCGAGCTGTCCGAGAAACGGCGGTCTCGAGACGGAGTCGCTGGAGCACGTAGTCTGGGATAGCACAGCGAGGCCACTTCTGGCCTCCTCCTGGGTTTAGGGTCCAGCAGAGCAGCGGGTCACGTTCACGTCGGCTGATGACGTACCCTTGAGCCGTGCAATGTTTCGGGCGCAGCCACAGATACATTCGAATATGTGTTGAACTTCACAGCGTGAGTCTTTTTATTATTTCAAGTCAACCACCGCCAGGCTCGTGCTGCAACGGAGTGGGACTCAGAGCTTTGCCGGCTGGGTGTACTCTGAACGTTAAGGCGAGAGAGACGGTTAGCGGCGGGCATTGGATGCCAGCAAACAATGACTCAAGAAATCCATACCTAAGGACCTGTGGCAGAAGATGCCCTGACTCCACTACTGGCACGCCACCTGGTTCGAGTCCCCCGACTACGCAACACTTCTCAGAAGAGAGAAGAGGACGCATAGAAAATTAGTCTGCAGAATCAAAAGGAACCTTGATGAGCATGGTAACAATGCCCCACCATCTCCTTGACTCCTGGTTGCCCTCAGAAGTAAAACAAAAATGCGTTCGGACTTATTCTTGTTTTCTTTTTCGGGGGGGGGGGGGGGGGGGGGTGGGGGCGGAGTATTTCTCCAAGAAATGTAACGAAATACAGTACATCCTGATTGTATCGCGACACAAAAAAACATTACAAATGTATTTCGATACAGGAATACAGATACTGGTGAAAAACAATGTATCGCGATACAGAAATACAGATACCGAAATGTATCTCTGAAATACTATCGCGATACATTTGTATCGTCGATACTGCCCAACCCTGCTTGCAGATATGTAGCGAAACTTTCCATGCCTAATGACGCCAATGCTACAGATGCCCGTGGAGCCGCGCAGCTTTTAGCGTCGCTCAAAGCTGTGCACGCTTTGAGTGAAGGAAATCATTGTTAGGGCTTTGATGAAACGCTAAATGTGGTTCACTATCTTGCTTCTTTTTTTTTTATGCTTTATTAGCGCTAGTGAGTAGACGCTGAAAGAGGCTTCTAGATCCTTTCTATGTTTACAAGTTCACAGCCGAGACTGCTATGATTTTTCGTCGTTTCGAAAAATGAGCAAAGCGCCCACCATACGCAAGAACGCTGAGAATCCTTTGTCCTTTGTCGTTCTTGTTCCCCTTGCCCAAGGATTATCTTCGTTAAAGCAGCAGCTCTACTTAAAGACAGTGTGTGATTTGTCGGTTATGTTTTCTTGTTTTAGCTTATTTTCGAAGGTAACTACGTATCTAACTTAATAATATTTAAATTAATTACAGATGAACAGCTATTCGCAATTTGTCAATTCGCCACCAATATTAGATCCGTTCAACACTTCCACAGAACAGTATGTAGCCACCTTGGGTATAAAACCTTTTGGACACCGATGACCGTGTTACTTGGCACAGAAGTACGAGGGGCGTTCAATAATTTATCTACCTGAGTATGAGCGAAAGTAACAAGTTTCTTAAAACAAGCCCGTGGGCATTCTTTGATCCGCTCAATGTTACCCGTGCACTGTTGCAGCTCAGTGAAAAAATTACATTCCAAGAGGAAGGATGTCAAGTGAGTCTTCGTGTCAACGTAAGAAAATTTAAGACTTGGAGTAGGAGTATAGTGATGACATTTTCTCACAAAAAAAAAAAGTGGAAAAAGACAAAAGAGGCCCACTAACGCGTGACTACAGTTTATTTAGAGTCTGCCCCATCTTCCCAAAAACTCAAATTTGGGGAGAAGAGCGGCGGTTTAAGTGGGGTGAGAATTCATTGAAGATGACCCTCATACCAGACGGCCTGAGGGAGCAGAAGCGTGAAAGTTAAAAATTTATTTTTGTCCGTTAGAAGAATTATTGCTTCTTGGATATCTGAAAAAAATGGGTATGTAGACAAACGTAATTTCCAAAATCTTTTTTTTTTATTTAAATGGCAATGTCGAAGTTTAGTGCAAGTTGGCTTTAAAGAATGCTGACGCGATGTCACAAAGCCACAAGGCTCCGGTTCTGTCAGGACTTTAAAAACGATTCGTTAAGACCAGGTGATTCTTTTATGTTTGGTTACTGGAGGTGACATTTTGGGGTCTATCATGGAAATTACTAAATGAAAAATATACGGCGGACCCCTAAGCACTTCCTATGAGTTGTGAATGCGAAAGCATAAATGTCGTTTATCCGCTCCCTTAGTTCGTCTGCGGTGTACTGGAGTGGACGGCTACGTTTCGCTCCTGCCGAAGCAGCGGTCGATGGCCGTGCGCGCGCTCTCGTGAGTGGCCGCGCCGCGCTGAGCTCCGGCCGTGCAGCCCTCTCAGGAGTTTGCCCGCTCAGGCCTCTGCGGCCAGGCCCGCACCTCTTACCGGCGGCCGGGCCGCTGCGTCCGCTTTGCCGACATAAAGCGGGCTTCTCTGGTGGAGTTCCTTCTATCTACGCCGCGCGAGAGCCAATGGGATCCTCGTTCCTCGAAACTATGGCGCGCACCAGCCAATGGGAGCCTATCCATCCGATTTCTGCTACAGACGACAGCTTCGCTCGCATTCGGACAGGGGAAGGTGCCGTTTGGCGTGGCTTCAAAAGCTGACGACGGTTGATTCCACTTCATGGTACAGTCAATGCTTTCGCATTAAAATGGAGTCAATGTGGCGAAATCACAAGTCATCTCCTACAAAAAACAGAGATCATTCAAGGTAAAGAAATCTATAGGCAATGTAATGG